ACCCGAGCCGGGCCAGAGCCGCGGCGCGTGCGCGCGCTCACCTGCAGCCTCCGAAGCAGCTTCGGGCCGCTTGCGCTCCGCCCACACCCAATAGGAAGCGCGCACCTGCGCCCGTGGCGCCAACCAATCGATACACGCCTCGCGCGGCGAGCGGGCGGGCCGCCTCGCCAAAATCCCGCCCACCGCCGCGCGATTGGTCCCACGCTACGAGGGAGGGGCGGGATCACCTGAAGCCCGGGGCCTCCTCTCCGGACCTAGCAGGAGAGCTGGAAAGCGCATGCGCGGGCCCTGGAGTTTCCGCCCCAGGAAGGCAGTGCGGGGAGGCCGGCCGGAAGCAAGAGTGCACCTGAAAAGGGGAGCGGGCAGTGGGGCTTATGCGCACGCGCGGGCGCGCGCCTGGTGGCAACCCTGTCGCGCGCTCGCGCTAGTCGCACGTTTGGCCGGCGGGGATGGAGAGCTCGGCGGGGTCGGGTGCTGAGGCGCCGTGGGGCTGCAAGGTTCCCGCTGGTCCCCGCCCCGCTTCCACTTTGGGATGCTGAAGCCTCCAATGACGCCCCTTCACCACCCTTTAGCTTTGTTTAGGCTCTTGGCTGCAGAATTCAAGATTTCCCGCCTCAGGGCACTCGGCTTGGTTTTGTCCGATGAAACTCTGCACACCTCTAAATCCTTCAGGTCCCGAGGGTTCGAGGACTTCTAGACCGGCCTTTCGGGGCTTGCTTATTTTATTTACTTCGTTTTAGGTCTCTGAATCATTTTCTCCCCTCCTCCAGCCATTTCTTGGCCGTTCGCTGTTGCCACAAATGACAGCCTCTGGATTGTGTTCGTTTCCCCGAGTGACCGAGCTGTGTCCCGGAGTAACAAAACACCAAATCCTCTCTAAGCGCCCCGGAGCTGGGTCTGTCCTCACACGGACCCTGTTTAGCATTGGCCATGGGGAGGCGAGGACAAGACTGAAGCTTGCTGCTGGGGGAGATCCCCAGGTCCTCCCACCCACGGAAGGGCTCCCTGTGGGACTGCTGCTCACCCAAAGCTGTTGAAACCTGCGAGCCAGGACGGAGGCTGCAGGCTACAGTGGGGGGTTCTAACCTGAGAGGGGCGAGAAGAGTTGGTTAGGGTGCTTCATTCCACCCGGGTTCTCAGGGCCTTCCCTCATCTCCCTGCCTACCTCAGATCCCTCCTTGCACCCCACTTCCCAGCACTTGTGACAAGATCCATTTTCCCCACTTTTTTGTGCACGTGAATTTTGTGAGTCGTCCACCTCCACCCTAGAATGAAAGCTCCTCCAAGGCAGGGACCACTCTGCTTTGCTCTCATTGAGTGTCCTAGCAGGTACTCAGGTATGTTTTTGCTGGATTCTGGAGCTGAGAGTGTGGTTTCTCCAGGCTCACTTTGCTCCGCCTGGGATCATAGGTGAGAAGCCCATCTTTTCCCCTGGAGGATTCAGTTCACCAAATGTTTACGGAGGAATTTAAGATTTTTTGGCGATTTGGGGGTGGAAGTGCCGGCGGAAAGTATGCTGTCCCAAGCTGAATAGTAAATAGTAAGGCTGCCTGTTCTAAAGCACCTGTGTGGCTCAAGCTCAGCTGGAAATTAAGTGTGGTGTTGTGACAGGACAGTTGCAGGGCCTATAATTTTCTTAACTGTTTGGGCTAGTTCTTAACTTTTTTGGTCTCATGTCCTTTTTACACTGTAAAAAGCTATGGAGGACCCTGTAGCATTTTGTTTATGTATATCTATCAACATTTATCATGTGAGGATTGAAACTGAGACGTGTTTAATGCACAAGAATATACAAACACTCATTCCAACAGTCAGAGAGTGATGATGCCATTACATGTCATGTTCCTTCTGGAAAACTCCAGCATATACTTGTGAGAAAATGAGGGTGAGAAAAACAAATGCCATCTTAGCATTGTGAAAACAGTTTTGGCCTTTTGAGAACTTCTAAAAAGGTCTCAGGGTCTCCCAGGGGTCGCTGGACCACACTTTGATAACTGCTGGACTGGAAAACATGTTGCAAAGCTTTAGGCAATCTCCATTCTCAGCTTTCACCCTCCTCTCCACAGTTGACAGGGCCACACCCTGGTTGCCAGGGCCTCGGCTCTGTGTGTGATGGTTGGGTGGCTGAGCTTTATTACTGTTATCGGCACTGATTTATCAGGCCCTTTTAAAAAGGAAGTTCATGGGTGCCAAGGCACCTGCGCACCTGCGTGGGCCCTGCATTCCTGAAGATGTCGTCACATCCTCTCTCCCCTCCCCCGGGTGTGGCATCTCTTTACTTGGACTTTCCTTTCCAGAAGGGAGGGCCAGGCCAGAGCTTCCTGGATCTCCTAAGTGGAATTTGCTCTGAGGCCTGTGGGTCACTCGTGTGCCTGGGTTGTGTAAGAAAGGAATGTGGAGAATAGTTTGAATTTGATAAAGGTGTCATGGAGGACGGGAACCCTTTCATCCCAAGAGCTATTATGGCCCTTAGTGTTCACAGGCTTGAATTTCAGTCTTTCTTGAGAAGCATGAAACCCAGAGAAACAGCATACAGAAGGATTTATATTCTTGTTTCTTTGGTTTAAAGACTGACCTTAATCTCATTTCTCTCCATCATCCCTTCCCACCCCCAAATCCTCAAGCTAAAGCTGATCAGGACCTACGTGTGGAACGAAAAGCCAGTCCCATGCCTGGGAGAATTAATACTCAGTGGGTTAAGGAGATAAGTAAGATGAATATATGACATTATGGACTCTGTAAATTATAGGTATACGAAATCATTAGTTGGGAATGGGCTACCAGAGATTATGACACCCACACAACGGTAGGCCTCTTGGCCCATCTCCACCTTCTGAAAGAAATTAGTGAGGATTACACTTCTGCTTTGTCCTCTTTTTCAATACTTTCTGTCTTTAAATTCTACAGACCCCTTGCTGTGTTCGTTTGAAATTTACAGTGTGAGGTGGGAAGAGTTCATAATTTTCCACGATTAGATTTTTTAATTTGCATCTTGCATAATGATATTTGTTTCCTTCCTCCTCCAACTCTTACGAAAAGGAAAAAAAGATGGCAAGAAGTCATCTTGCCAGTGATTTTTTTCAAGGAATTTCTCTTGCCAGCTCTTTTTCTCCTTGATTGCTCAAGTTCCAGTTTTGATGGAGCTGGTTAATAATTCTTTGAGAAGGAATTGAAGTGTACATTTGTGAATCTCAGACTACTCACGGAAGCATTTTAAGCCCTTTAGCAGAGGTGGAAATAAGTCACATGATCTGTTTTCTGGTTAATAGCTTATAATACTTTGCCATTTTGGGGGCAGGGCTGGGGTGGTAGTGCTCACAGCTAGGGTAACGAATGAATTATTTCCTGTAGCCTTTAAGAAGCTAAAAGCCCTTTTAGGTAAAAACCCATTTTCGTGGGAGGCAATATGTGCCAGGCACTGTGCCTAAGCCTTACCATGCCACAAGTTTGCTTTCTGACCTTTTCCCTCTCTGGGACTCAATTTCTCCCTCTGTAAATGCAGGCACTGGATGAGATCATCTCCACAGTCCCATCCAGCTCTTAACATTCTGTGGTACCCCAGGGATAATGGACATTGATCATTATTTTAACATTACCAAGGATGAACTGGAATGAAAAGAGTAATCGTTCCATCGGGTCAACAGACAGGCTACAGTTGTCAGTGAACATACCCTGGTTCCCAGGAGGTTGATAAACATGATGATAGTTAACACTTATGAGAGAACTATCAGGTGCCAGGAACTGTGCTAAGTGCTTTTCCGTGGATAAACATTTGATGTTAAGTTGCATAAAGGACCTTTATATTTGGAGGCTGCTATGGTTTGAATGTCTCCAA